TAATTCTACATATTTTAGGCATCTGAGAGGGATCATGCCCAGAAAGGGCCGAGGCCCCTGTCTGTGATTCAGTGACTTACCAGGAGCTGCCCCAAATAGGATGTGGCCATGACAGCCTGACTGGGAAGGTGCTTATAAAGTAGGCTGTGTTCAAAAAAAATTACCCCCACTAATCCACTGTCTCTAAAACACTATTTACTCCTGGCCTCAGAAAGTTGGGGGTGAGGAATCACCAGATAAGCCACGTAAAGTGCTAACTCGGGCATGGAATGTCAGCACCCCGGCCTCCACACCAGTACTGCTGATGCCCACGGAGCGGGGGGGTCCTCCATGCAGTGGGGAACACATGGCTGAGTCCTAGAACATCTGGTTCCAATTATTTAAAATGCCATTATTACATCATGAACACAGGTGCATGCAGGCACCACAAGGTGTCACACAACTGAGAGGACATTTGGAAATGAATGACCCCCCCTCTCCGCCTGTCTGGAGTACCTCCCCCTGAGCAGGCCCCTCTCTAAAGCCTCGCCTTCTCACTCAGGTTGCCCTTCTGCAGCGTCAGGCTGCCTACTCCCTGGAGTGGCTGTCCCTCCTGCCCCATCTCCCCAAACCCCCTGGCAGTAAGAGCCTGTGTGCTGGCCTCAGTCGGACCTCCATCAGCTGGGCTGAGATGACACCAGGAAAGGCTAGAATAAGTACCTGTTCCCCCACACCCAGCAATTCCTCCTAAGACCCCCTCCCACCCCCAAAATGAAAAGGGCAGCTCTGAACACCTCACAGAGCAGGCTGGGCCAAACTGCTGCTCCTGATCTGGTGCGGTTTCTAAAGCTACTTGGACAAGCAGAGGCGAGGGCAGGCTGCCTTCGTCTTCTGCACCAAGACCAGACCAGGAGGGTAACTAAGAAGGAAAGTGGGGGATGTACCAAAAACAAACCATTTCTACAAGCCCAGGGATTTGTATGAGAATCTAAAAAGGAAAGAAGGAGACCGTCACAGGCAGCTCAGACCCCAGGGTGGTGAGAAGGGGCCGCTGTCACCAGAGCTGCCCACCAGGCCCTGCTGGGAAGCTCTACCCAGCACCTACCAAAAAACACCGTCTCTGTACTGCAGCACTGCAGAGCTTGCCTGGGCTCTAGGCAGCATAATGACACCTCTGTCCCCTCTGAGGCTGCTAGCCAGGGCAGAAAGGGCTGGGCTCCCCTGAACGCAGGGTCTGGGGCTTCATCTTGGGCAAAAACCAGAGACCATTAAATGGGAGCGAGACGCCCCACTCAGGAGGATGAAATGACAAGAACATGGCATATTTTTCCCTCTCTAACCTACCCAGGTGACCCAACGGGTAGGGCAGGCAGGACGTCCATACCTAGACAGCCCCACAGACAAAGGGAGAGGGCCCACCAGCCACCTGGTCCCTGGGAAACACCGTCCTTTACCCTGCAGCCTGGGAAAGGCCTGCTGGGTCACTGATCACTTTTCCCAGTGTTGTCTGCTCTGGTCCCAGCACACAGGTGCCCTCCGGAGGGGACAGTCCCAGAGACCCCTAAGAGGTGACCTGTCCTACAAGGGCACAGTAAGGTCTCTCTCACCAGGCAGGTAATCAGAAACAAAAATCAATACTAGAAATCTATCCCAGGGCATGAGGATCCCCAAAGACCAAAGACCCTCCCTGAAATCCCCCCAGGTCTTTCTACCCCCCAGGTCCCTCCTCTCTGCTGCCTGGCACTAAAGACCACAGACGAAGATTTCCAACTCCCTACCTCTGCTCAGCTGGACCCCTCCCACCACCCCACACTCATCTGCCAGCATTCTGGGCGCCAGACCAGGTAACTGCATCTCCCAGCATCTTCTTTGCCTTCAGAGCTGCATCGGCTCTGCCCATGCCAGACTGGAATCCTCTCCCTCCACTTCCTGAGTTGGCAACACCTGGACACCTGGCACCTTTGGCAGGTGCAATCTCAGAACCATCTCGCCTAGGACTTAATAGCTGGAGAAGGCAGCAAAAGCACTACAGCAAGCTGGAAGGATGGAGGCAGGAGGCGGGGACCCAGCAGCCAATAAGACAGACGCTGCCCTGTCCACTCAGGGTCCCTTGGCACAGTTTAAGAGTGGACAATAGAGTGACACTGGGAGAGGCTGTTCTGATGGGATGAGAGGGGGCGCTGAGCCAAGACCAGAAGGATGGGAGGTGACAGACCTCAAGGGAGGCCAGACCAGGGAAACGGAGCAGGGAGAGAGGGCCTGATCACCCAAAGGGGCATTGCTTGGTCCCACACGCGTGTCAACCACTGCTCTGGGCAGCTGGGGCACAGAACAGGAGCCAGTAAGGAGCAGCAGGAGACCCCAGATGGGAGCTGCTGGCCTCTGCCATTCCTTCTCACTCGTGTCCCCATTAGCTCCCCACTGCAGCTGAGGGAGGAAAGTGGGGGGGGGGGTCCAAACAGAGAGACCAGTCTTAAGGATGCTGAGCCGGGCAGAGTAGAGTGATGGGAGGGAAGAGGGGACCCCGGCGCTAGGCAGGGCCGGCAGAAGCCAGGTCCCCTGCACAGCCACTTCCGGGGAGTCTGCACTAGGGTAGGGGATGGGCGGGCCGACCCCAAGTACCTCAGCCTGGGCTGAGGGAAAGATCTGGCAGAGGCCAGTGCCTCTGCTGACCTTCTGACCTGAGCCTGGGGTGACAGGGCTCAGGGAGGAGGGCCGAGCAGAGTCCCCTGCACTCTCCAGAAGGGGCCTCTCCTTGGCACACCTGCTCTCTGCCCTGACGGCGGGGATTTGCATGCCCCAAAAGACGATGACCAGGGTTTGGACAGGCGTGGAGGTGTGGCCGAGTGCATCCTCTCCCCAGCGTGACAGCGATGAGCAGAGGACACCCCTTCACGTGGCCCTTCATCTGACACTCCACTCAGTCCCTCGCAACCTCCAGGGAAGGGGCAACTGCTCCCTCCTCACAGAGGGAGAAACGGAGGCTCGGGCCATGCCTGAGCCCCACGACGAGGGAAGGAGGACTCAACCCAGACCGGCCAGGTCCCCACACAGGTGCCTTTAGGCATCACCAAGACAAACTTCAGATCTTGACAGCCTCGAGCTGCGACGGCCGTGCATGAGCGTGTGCCACGCGGCACGCTGGAGCAAAGGAGAACCATGTGTGAGCCCAGGGGTGGTGCAGCCCCTGCCTCACACAGGAGGACCTCAAGCGCAGACACTGGCTGAGATTCCAAAAGAGGCAGGAGCCTCCTGCAGTGAGCATTCTGTAATCTCGGAGACAACGGAGCCAGAGCAACCTCCAGGCTCAGGAAGCAGCAGAGTCCCCCGAGGGGTGACCCAGGAAATGCTGCCTCCACCACTCAGCTGCTCAACAGGCCAAACCTGAGGAGACCCAGCCACGTGCCACACCTGTGAGTGACAGAACACGTCTTCCTGAGCTCGAAAATAAATAAAACCAGGTCAGGCGCAAGAAACAACTTTTTTTAAAGTTTCTAGAAGGGTAGTCTGTGTAGGAGACACAGTGAGGCCAGCCTCAGCGACAGGAGGAGCACAGTGGACTCTCACCATGGCCAGAATACCGAGTCTTCTAAGCGAGCAAACATCACTCCAGCAACACGAAACCCCTAGAAGGAAAAACTCAAGTCTCCTGTCTTCCTAACTCAACAACCTCAGGTCAAAACCGTTTTATCTCAGGCCTGAAATTAGATTTCAGGAGCAGCTTACAATCTGCGCCATCACAGAAGGAGAACCTGGCAGGACTCCAGGCCAGCCGCCTCAGCGGAAGGAGGACCAGAAGGTCTATTTAGGAAAGGAAGACGGAAGTGTCTCGCTGGCACTGACAGTCGCGTGCATCGGCAGTGAGACTGCACAGTACAGTCCACACGCTTTCCGGACTTCTAGGCTAGGAACACAGAATCAACCAGGATGAGAGGTCAGGGGAAACTGGGGGCCCTCGGCTGGTCCAGCCTCACATCACCACCACGCTGCCCCGGGGGCTGGGTTAAGGAGAACGTCACATGAAACTCACAGCCTTATGCAGGGACGATAAGCCAAAACGTTCTAACCCACTCCAAGGTCCAGGGTCCCCTCCTCCACACCACTCCAAGCCATTCAAACCCAACCCATAGCTGGGGGGGAAGGGCTGGGCATTGCTTGAAAGCTGAGGCAGCACCTGGAGGTGTCCTGTCCTTTCCTTATAGGAGATCGGAGCAGTGCACCTGCCAGGCTTCCACATCAGTCAACCGGTCCCAGCAGAGACAGGGAACCAAAGGCTTAAGAACAGGAATGATACACTGGGGCTTTCAGCAGCTGCTGGGACTCAAAAGCAAAACTTCTGTCTCAGGGCCCAGAACTACGATCAGAGGATTTGCTTCCACTTAAGAGCTGTGTGACCTAAGTAAGACACTTAATCTCTCTGGCTTGGTCACACGGGGCTGTGCTGAAACAACGTACAGAACAGCACAAACCGGCTCTGCCACGCACGTGACCTCCGGCTCCTTCCTGCCTCTCAGTTTCTGAACGCTGGAAAATAAAGTATTGCAACACTCTTTAAAACAAAACAAAACAAACAACAACCCTGACGCAAGGAAGAAGGCAAGGCCAAGAGACCTCCGAGGACCTCCAGAGTGAGGGAAACCACCCTCTAACCAGCTGTGTGGTCAGTTTTCTCATCTGAGAAACGGGAATGACCTTGTTCTTGCCTTTTTCGTCCCCACCAGGGACGGCTGACAGGCCAGACCCAGACAAAGGGAGCACCCCACCCCCCAAACCAAGGGAACCATCAGAGCCAGGGAACCTTTCCCAAAACTGTATTGATGACCTCAAATAATATTCAACAAGGTGATAACAAGTCAATAATAATAAAAGTAATAATAATAAGCTCATTTAAGTAAAACATGATTACTAGCCACACTCATGTTTCCACATCTGCCATGTACGTGGTGGGTATCTCCGTAAGGACCCCAGTGCATGTTCAGCATTTGATTGAACCCCTTAGATGGTGCTCACCAAGCACTCACCACGCAGACGTCTGTCGTGGATTCCTTTAACAGCAGCCCCATCAACCCTCTGGTCATGACATTTGAAATCCTGCAGGTCAAATCCAGTTTTCTCCAAGCAGGACCTGTCAGCAGATTCCTCCTCAAGGAATTGATTCTGTCAAAGGTAGAAATAGGAACCACCCTTGCAGGATGAAGGGATGATGGGGGAATTATGGCTTCCTTCAGGGAAGCAGCTGTGTGTTGGGGCTGATGGATGGCACATCCTCATCCCAGCCAAGGCCAGCATGGCACAGGGGCCCGGACCTCTCAGTGAGCCCTCACTCTGACCCAGGGACAAGCAGTGCCTCCCATGGCCTGGCACAGTGGCCCTAACTGACCACCCCTGCTTCCTGAAGTTGGTGTGGGCTCAAACGCTATACATATATGGAATAACTTTGGGAACCAACAGGGGCTATACAGACTAGTATTTTCCAATCCACAAGCACGTTTTTTCCACTAATATGTCACTGAGGTAAATGGAAGCAAACCCAAGACCCTGGAAAATAGTCTAACAACACAGTCTAAGTGCTTCAAAGTCATTAGCCAGCTGGGTCCACGGTCACACTCAAGCAAGTGACAAATGGCCAGCTGGTTGCCAGCTTTACACAGCTGACTTGCCAGAGAAGAGCCTATGAGTAAGTGTCACTCACAGGGACAGCCAAGCCAAAACCGAGGCGATCTTGTTCGGTCAAGAGTGTGGTGGGTCACGGGCTTCCCTGGTGGTGTACTGGTCAAGAACCCGCCTGCCGATGCAGGGGACACGGGTTTGAGCCCTGGTCTGGGAAGATCCCACATGCCGCGGAGCAACTAGGCCCGCACGCCACAAATACTGAGCCCGTGTGCCACAACTACCGAAGCCCACACACCTAGAGCCCATGCTCCGCAACAAGAGAAGCCACCGCAGTGAGAAGCCCGCGCACAGCAATGAAGAGTAGCCCCCGCTCGCAACTAGAGAAAGCCCACGCGCAGCAATGAAGACCCAACAAAACCAAAAATAAATAAATAAATGAATAAATTTATTTTTTTTAAAAAAGTGTGTGGTGGGTCGCACCTGGGAGAAGAAATGACCACGCCGCAATGCCGTTCTGGAGAGCAGACAGCACTCAGGTGGCACCCAGTGAGAGAGCTGAGGGGGTTAACTGGCGCGGGAGTGAGGCCCATTCAAAGACACACACACACCAAGAGGAAAAGGCGACGAGTGGCACAGACTGAGAAGACAGTACGAGTGGCTAAAATACATGAGATGCCACCAAGAAAACACAAATGAGAGATACCATTTTTGCCCAGCACTACCACAAAATTAGGAAGAATAAGACAATCTGGTATGCAAAAAGAAGTGGGAAACGTCCTGGGACACGCTCGCAGAGGTGGCATGAAAGGTCAGCTGCTGGGGGCAGTGGGGAACAAGGCACAACCCACAGGACAGCAGAGCCTGGCCCTCCCTCGAGTCTGTGGTCGGGCTGGCCAAGTATCTTGAGCCAGGTGCCAGTTGCTCACGGGAGCAGATGAGGCTGCACTGGAGTCACGGGGCAGGACCTGAGGGGCCTCAGCATTCAGCAAGGTGTGCTCTGTGGGAGTGAGGCACTTCCCACTGGTCTGTCTGACACACCTGGCTGGTGCCTAAGAGCTGGCTGCACCATGTAAGAGCAAAACAAAGTCGGAAACCACTGATCCAGAAAGAGAAGGCCCAATCAAATTCACAGGCTCACGGCAAAGGCCTGGTGTGTGCCAGGCCCTCTCATGTACACTCCGTCCTTGGGGAGCATTCTGGACTCCAGGAGTGTGCTTCTTGGTGGGCAGGAAGGAGGGGAGGCAGCAAGAGCACCGACACTAAAAAGGAGGCCTTTTTTCTTTTTGGCCGTGCTGCACAGCTTGTGGGATCTTATTTCCCCGACCAGGGATCAAACCCGGACCCTAGGCAGTGAGAGCGAGGAGTCCTAACCACTGGACTGCCAGGGAATTCCCGAGGAGACTGTCAAGGAGAGAATGCTGGGGCCTGGGCAGCGGGGTCCCCGGGAGCCCTGTGAATCGCACATCGCCGCCCACAGGGGCCCCCAGCAGCAGTGAGTGGCAACACCACCCAGCTGTTACAAATGAGGGGTTTGTAACAGGTGGCAGAAACTCCACGTTAGGCCACCAAATGTCCCAGAGCTCTGTAGGACAGGAGTGGCCCCTATCACTGTGGCTGGATATCCCGTTAAGGACCCACACCCCCAGCCAGAGATGAATGAGGGCTCCAGGAAAGCAGTGTAACCAGAGAAGAGACACGGCGACCCTGGGGTGACGGCACAAGAACACACGGCAGGCCCCGTGTCTGTGGGTGCAGGGAGGCTTCCGGGAGCCATGACCACAGAGCTATCTATGCTGACAGAGTGCTTTCCGTGAGTCGTGGGTGTGACAGGAGTGAGTCAGGAGGGGACAGAGGGCATCCCAGGTGAGGGGGACAAGGGGCACAGACCCCTAGGGAGGGAGGGGTGCAGGCCTGCACCAACTGCTCCAGGTGGAGGCACTGGCGACAGCGGTGCCGCAGACCGCTGGGGCAGCCAGAACCCAGGGTGAGCCGGCCTTTGTCAATTCTGCAAATGGGGACCACACCACCACAGAAAACCCTCCAACCAGCCAAATTAGGAGGAAACCTTTAGAGTCAAAAGGTCAAATATCCCCACCAAGGACATTCCAGGACCCCAAACAGCAGCTTTTTGGGTTTCCCAAACCCTATCCATGAAGGAAGACAAAGAGCAGCAACACCAGCGGCCGCATCCCAGATCTCCAGGACAGAGGAGCAGGAACGTGCGCGTGCAGCGTGGTCAGGGTTCTGCGAGGAAACTCAATGACCTTCCTCTTTTTGCTTCTGAGCTCACTTAGGGAAGAAGTTCTGGGCCCATAAATGCAGAATCCAAAAGCCCCTACCTGAGGAAAGCATTCAGCAGCCTAGCAAGGTTTGCCAATGCCCAGGAAGGAGCATACGGGGCTCCAAGCAAATGCCCCAATGCTGCCATCTGGGGTGCCCCCAACCCAGGCAGGCTGTGGAGGCTTGGAAAGCCCTGGGTGTGGGAGGACACTGCCCAGGATGAGGCCAGAATCTCACCAAGGGTTCCTGGGCAGAGCTGGGGCCCAACCCCCATGGCATGGGCCACCCAGTAGGACTCCCCGGCCCCCGCCAGAGTCACCCCTGTCACCTGCTTTATAAAGTGGCATTTTAAGCTGGTTTTACTTGGTAAAAAGGGAACCGTGCTCAAAAAGAAAAACGTTCAAATTAGCATAACACACCAGGCCCAGACCCGCCGCAGAGGAGGTGTTGTGAGCCGCTGGTCCTCCAGCGGCACTGTCCACCCTGGGGCCTGCGCTGCTGCCCCAAGCAACTCCAGAGGGGATTTTATGGTGCTCTGGGAGGGAATACCACCACCCTGGGGTGAGTACTGGGATAAAGCTGGTGAGAAGGAGGTGGCAGAGCTTTTATATTTGGAAAAGGAATCTGGCAGAGCTGGAGAATGAGGAAGGGAGAGAATCAGACACATGTGACTGAGGAGAGTCCCCCCACTGAGAACAGTTACGGCCTCCAGGGCAGGGGTCTGCTGAGGGAGCTGAGCTGACGGCATCCTGAATCTGGAGCAGGATGCTGGCCCTTGGAGTGACAGAACAGACTGGGCAGAGTGAGCTGGACAAGGCAACCACACAGGGCCTGCACCCCTCCTGGACACGGTCCCACCACATGTTCATATGGTATGGTTCACCCTGCTGCTACAGAGTGCCGATGTGGCACCAGACGCTGGGACAGGAGCACTCACACCTCAGGGGACACGCTGAGTGCCGGGGACACACGGAGGAGCCCTCTGAGCAGAGACTACAAAGGTAGGGGGAGAGGCCCATAGAGACCTAGAGGAAAAGTGTTTGAGGCACAGGCACACACACTGTTTCCTGAAGCTTGTGCCCTGCGGTGCCGTGTGCTGGCCACCCTCCCCAGCACTCTGACCTGTTTGTCTGATCGCGGCACTCTTGGGAGAGGGCCGGGCTTCTTCCTCAGCACAGCCTCCTGGGCCTCCTGGGGTGTAGGCTCTTCCCCACCACCGGCTCTGGCCCCAGGAATTCCACTTTTCCAACAGGTTCCAGCAAATGTTCCTTCTCCAGCAAACCCTCCTGACCTGTAGGTGGAATTAGAGCCCACGGGACTGTCGCTCTTCACTCAGGGCCCACAATGCTCGGCACAGGGCCAGGCACTCCAAAACTGGGATGTCACACCTGGGGCCTGGCTGCAGCCCGGCCTGTCCACCTAAGGACAGGTGCTCTGGGCCAGATGCCTGGGGCTGACCAGGACCCCACATGTCAGCATCCCACTTGCTTACTCCCTGCGGCCAGGGCCTCGCTTGGGCCTCAGAGCCTGGGGAGGACTCAACAGGTGGCTGCAGTGTGCAGAGGACACACACACACTATTTCATTTCAGGCCCTGGGCAACGGGTGTTCGGCCACCATGCAGACAGGCTGGGGCGGTGCAGGGGACTGAAGAGAGGCAGGAGGCCAGCCACCCTGTTGAGGGATCTGCCCGCGTAGGCTGACTGACGCCACTCCTGTTCTGTTTTTCAAATGCAGTCCTGTGACTCTCTGAGTTACCAAAATCTCAATGCACATCCTGAGTGAAAATGATGACGTGGGGATCACTGTTCTAAATTTCCCCTAAATTTTCCGCAGACTTCAGGATTCCTCCTGGACGCCTATGTGAAACTGCTGTGCACATCTGATTTCAGTCACGTTCATCTATGACTGGGCCAGAAGGGGAAGCAACTACAGGCTCCAGAATCCTCAATCCCAGCACCCGGTTTTCAAAGCAACAATGCTCTTCCGTCCAGAATTGGCCAGCTTGCAGAGCTCAGACCCCACCTGCCAGGCCTAAGGCCAGCTCGGTACCACCCACAAGGTTAATCAATGGCTTAATAAGTAACAACCAAGAACACAAGACCCAACTTTAAACAAACAGAGCTCCCCAGCCTGCATCCTGCCTAAGGCCCGGCAGCGTCTGTGCATGAACTGTGTCCCCGCTCACCACCTCTAATGTGCTCTAAGGGCTGTCATGGGAAATGCTATTTACAATGGAACATGCCCACTCTGCTAAGCTCTGTACAGCCACCACCAAGTCCGGCCACCAACCTGTCCAGTCGACAGGCTCTGAGGGCCCGCAAAGACCCCGTAACCTTGAGCAGCAGAGGAGCCGGCTAGCCTGAGGTCTATGATGCCTGCACCCAGGAGATCCCTGGCCTATGGCTCCAACAGAGGAGCAAATGCCTACCTTTCAGAGACACCCCAGGCCTTGACTCTTCTGCTAGACAGCTAGGGCTGCAGCATGGAAGGAAGGCACAGACCCCACAACATGACCCCCATCCCGCGGGGGGGTAAAATGAGGTCCAGAGAGTGGTGCCACCGTCCAGCCAGTCCCCTCTCCCCAACCCGTGTCCTGCGCTGCACTCTGCAGCCACCCAGCCCATGCATGGTCAATACCAGTGGGAGTTTAGAAACAATACGGCCTGCCTCCCTACCCCGGCCCTCAGCTGTCTGAGGTACAGAGCTCAGACACCCGGAACCTCTGTACCTAGGCCTGCTGGGTGCCCACATGAACACGGAGCAGTGGGCAGCCTCCCCAGGTCTGCAGGCTGGCTCAAAACCAGCCCCAGTTCAGCCAATTCGAGGTATCCTGCTTCACTGCCCCAGGCCTGGGCCCTGCGTCCTCCAGTGACCTGCTTCAACACCTCCAGTTCGCCCG